TTTCCTAAAACTACAAGAAATATTTATTTTGTGTTGGAGATTAAAAAAAAATCTAAAATTGTCTCTAAATTTTACTGAAAAATGTAAAGTTTCTAATAACATGTGAATCTATCTATGACCACAATACTCAAAGGGGATCTTTATAGAGTATTAACTGTCAACTATATTTTAATCAGTGTAGCATAACATCTTGACAAGGTCAATAAAAATGACTTTCAAAATATTTAGAATGGATGACATGTGCAACAGTAATTAATTCTGGACAATTTTATGTTTTAGAGACAACCTTGGATGGCAGGAACCATACAGACTTTAGAAAAAAAAATTAAAACGGAGATTCTCATTCCAGTTGAGCTCTCAGCTAGGAGTGATTTCTACAGGCTGGAGACCTAACTTCATTGTCTCAGTTTCTTGTTTGTAAAATAGTAATAAATGGGCATTACTAGGCTTGGGTGCTAGTAACTTTTAACATACTGATTCTCATTTAGAATATGTTGAATAGGAAATAAAATAGCCATTTTCCTATTTTCTTTCTGTCTTCTCCTTTTAAATAAATTAGCTTTTCTTAAGTTTTTTATTGTAATTCAAAGGTAAGAGATGAAATAGTCCAGCATAAAAACATTCACTATTTTACATGTGGGAATATAATATAACATTTGTAAAGTTGGTAAAATGAAAGAATTTTAAGGCAGCCTAAAGTGTATAATTGTCATTGTTAGCCAAAGCATCTAAAGAAACAGCTTACCCTGGAAACTAAGTGTCACTATTAATGTGCCATCAAGTTCGTGTTTATTGTATCATAGATACCTAGAATTTAAGACTTGAGAAGTATGCTTACATATACTCACATAAACATATTCTCTATCTTTTGCTTAATTTTTTTATGATGCTCACCTTCCTGAATTTTCAGTTTGTAAATAAAGCGATTGCATATATGCTAATGAACAGGAAGTGTAGGGGTGTACTACAATTGAGTATGTATAAGCAGGGTTTAGAGGCCTCATGAGCAGGTGACACATGCTAAAACGACTAAAACTTCTATTTTGTCCGTGAATGCCACTTATATCACTTTGTAACTTGTAAAAATCTAAGGTGTTTGTTCTACTTATTTTCTTTCTCTTTGTCCTTCTCTTCCTGCATGCGTGCATGCTTGCTTGCACACAGTCGTTTTGATAGAAGGTAGTCACTAGTAATTGATTAACTTCATATTCTAACCGCCAGGGGTGGCCTACAAATTCATGAAATTTTTTTCTTTTAAAGAACAATAATCTCAGGTTATGCAGACCTCGTTGATAGTATCCAGAAGTCTGATCAGAGGAGGGATGGAAACGGCTTTGACCATCAGATCTCACCTCCCGTATACGGACTTAACTCATTAAAGCTCCTAGTTATGTTCAAAGGCAAGTCGGATTTGAGAATTTGCCTCTCCCACCCTCTCATTTTGGCCAAATCAAATAAAACCTTTCTCTCCTCCTAAGCGCTGTTGTATCAGTGTTTGGCTTATTGTGTGTTGGATACTCAAACGTAAATTTGGGGATTTTATAACAATTTCACTCTTCTGCAATCAATCGAAATAATTTTTCTCTTTTGATTTTTGTTTGTTCTTTCACTAACTCACAATGATTCTACCAGAAAAGTTTTAATCAGTAAAGATATAGCTTGAATTTTTATACGTAAGTCCCTAGTTTCAAACTCAAATGTACATGTCAAAATTAAAAATGTTTAAAAATATCTATGCATGACTCTCCATTTACACATTTATGGGGAAAGTAAAAGATATGGAGAGCATGGCTTGTGTGCTGTGTGTGTACTGATTATTTCATACATATGTGTTCTTTAGACTATGTCTATGTATAGAAATAAATTCTAAGGTTAGTGCTCTTTCTGAAATCATAAAAAAGCTCAAGAACTGCTAATCATAGGAATAAAAAAATCCCTATATAATATTTCATTAGTTATATTTTCAGCTCGACTGCTTGTATTAACTATATTTTTTGGAAAGTATATTTTTAGATAGTTATTTACCAAATATCTGATTTACTATAATAAATTTGTGTTAACTAACAAAAAGTTCAAATATTGAATGCATTAAACAAAATCTAGTTACTTGTCTAGGAAATTTTCAAAGCAAAAACTTACTCAAATATTAGTTGACATTGCAAAATTAGTTCTGAACATAATGTCTCAGACATAACATAAAACTTTTAAAATGAAAGTGAGAATTTATGTCTTACATGTAAAATAAATTGAGTCAGTATTAGAATAATATTTTGACCTTGAACAGAAATAAATCTGTAATAATCATCACTATGTTGCCAAAAGGAGAGAAAATAACACTATATAAATATTTAATCAAACAATCCTTTATCTTTTCATCTAATAATATAGATATTCCCCTAAAATTTACCATTCTGAGAATTTGTACATGATCTATTACTAGCCATATACAAATAATTGTAGTGGACATTTTTGAGGGGTCGTTTTAGAACTTTTCAAAATTCCCCTGAGAATACTTTGTTAGAATAGGTGCCACATATTTTTAGAATCTTGATTTGGGGGCTATATAAGTATAGCTTATAAGTATTTCTAGTTATTTAAAATGAATAATTTTAAAAAGAACAGCAGTAAGGCAAGAAATAAAAGATTATAAACTTTTAGATTTTTATTTAAGGCAGTTAATGTACTTTACAGTTGTGTACCACGTAAGGAAGTTTCAGTCAATAATCCACTGCATATAGGATGGTGGTTCCATAAGATTGCAATGGAGCTGTAAAATTTCTGCCCTCTAGTGATGTTGTAGCCATCATAACTTCATAGCACAACACATTACTTACATGTTTGTGGTGATGCTGGTGTAAATGAACCTACCTTCATAGCACATACAATTATGTATATAGTATGTAATACTTAATAATGATTATAAACTACCATGTTACTGGTTTATGTATTTACTCTACTATATTTTTTATAGTTATTTTAGGTAATCCTTCTACTTACAAAAGAAAAAAGTTAAGTGTAAAAGAGCCTCAGGCTGGTCCTTCGGGAGACATTCCAGAAGAAAGCATTGTTGTCATAGGAGATGACAGCTCCACACATGTTGTCCCACATGACCTTTCAGTGGGCAAGATGTGGAGGTTGAAGACAATAATATTGATGATCCTGATTCTCTGTAGGCCTAGGCTAACGTGTGTTTGTGTCTTCATTTTTAACAAAATGTTTTAAAAGTAAAGAAAATAACAATTAAAAAGTGAGGCAGGTAGATCACCTGAGGTCAGGAGTTTGCGAGCAGCCTGGCCAACGTGGCAAAACCTCGGCTCTACTAAAAATACAAAAAAAAAAAAAAAAAAAAAAAAAAAAAAAAATTGGTCAGATGTGGTGGCGTGCACCTGTAGTCCCAGCTACTTGGGAGATTGAGGCAGGAGAATCTCTTGAATTCAGGAGGCTTAGGTTGCAGTGAGCCGAGGTCCACCATTGCACTCCAGCCTGGGTAATGAGCTAAACTCTATCAAAGAACAAGAAAGAAGGAAAGAAGAGAGAAAGACAGAGAGAGAGGGAGGAGAGAAGGAGGGAGAGTGGGAGAGAGGGAGGGAGGGAGGGAGGGAGGGAGGGAGGGAAGGAGGGAGGGAGGAAGGAAAGGAAGGAAGGAAGGAAGGAAGGAAGGAAGGAAGGAAGGAAGGAAGGAAGGAAGGAAGGAAGGAAAAAAACTTATAGAACAAGGATGTAAAGAAAAAAAATGCATTGTTAGCATGCCTCTCCCACCTGGAAAGACAAAATAATGTGTAGAGACTCAAACTGTGAACCTTTTTCCAATAAGAGATTCAGGAACTTGGAAAAACTAAAAGAAACCCCAGACTCTTTGGAAAAAAGCGCAGGCTGCATGCTGTCCTGTAAGCCTGGTTGATAAACTGCCTCCAGGATATATACTTCCAGCAGGGAACCTGGCAACACAGGCCATGTGGGAAGGCCTTACCTCTACTCAGCACTGGAACTGATTTAGGCAGCAATGGGGAATATAAAAGTAGGTACAGCTACTGGAAGAGACTTGCATGCATTCCTAGTCTCCAGTGTAAATGGGAGGGAGACCATTTCTGACTCTACCTCACAGGGGACCTCAGGAAAGTCTGCCAGCTAAATAAGGCAGTGGTCACAGCTTCAGAGAAGCTCCCAGATAAAATTCACAATATAATCTTGAGTGGGCATAAACTCCCTTGGCCAGAACCAGGGGTTGAGTGGGAAGTGTGCTGCAGCTACGAGTGATGGAGCTGGGCACCTTTGCTTAACAGTTGGTCAAGCAGGGGCATGATCTTAAAGGCAGGCATATGGCTTGGGACAGTTTTGAGTTCCACGTGTAGAAAGCCTGGAATTTAGTTAGCTGTAGCTAGCAGAATACTGCAGGAGTGAGACCTGCCTTGCCAACTACATGAGCGCTGGGTGGGGCTTACCATCGTCTGTTACGCTGAACTCCCCCATGTAAACTGTGCAACAAAGGCAGCCTTGCTTCCCCCTAGAACATTATCCTAGCATCCTGCGAATCCTCACCCAATCCCCACAGGGGCTATTGCTTGCCCCATGAATGGAAAGAACAGAATACGGAACTATCTGATCCAGCCCCCACCTGGCTTTGCACCTGAGCCTGCCCTGGTAGTTTACCACAAAGGACAGAAATTTTGGGGATCTCCATGTCCCTGGTCATTCATTGAGAATCCAGAATAACTCCCTAGGTAACACAAGGCAAACACAAATCCCACTGTTACTATCATAACTGTCACTCTGTTGCAACTGTCATCTTCTGGCTGGAGGTCAACTGGCACAGTTCATTATGGCATTTCATTATGGAGAAAATTTGTGCATAACCTCAGCTGCCATCATAACCTGGCTAACCAGGAAGTCCTGAGTCTTTCCACAGGACCAGTTAATTCCTACTACAACCAACAATGGAGAAATTCAGCACACTAAGGCTATTTATAACCAAGGAATCTCACAGGGTCTATGTCACTAACCTGTCACCCGCATCAGAGCTGGTGTTGGTACCCACTGCTGTGAGACTTGAGGACAGGTAACATCACTGGATCCCTTGCAGACATTCCCAAGCATCCACTTGAAGTGTGGCAGTCCCTCTGTATGGCTAGACCCAGAGAAGCAGCAGCATACACAGTAGTATAGCTCTCAGGGTTTTCTACTCCTAGGGGAAAGAAGAATGTACCACATCAAAGAAACATTCCATGGCACAAAACAATCCAGACGGCAGGTTTTGAGTACCGAAATTTTTCTGCTGGTGGGAAGTTTCTTTTAGTAGAGGCATAGATGCAGTGCTGGGCTCAGCAGGGAATACCGGCAGCTCTATACAAATAGGCAGTCCTGATATTTGTGAGAGGTCTGGGAGAAGAGGACTTCTTTTCCCACTCATTCATCATACAGACACGACTGGGACTTCTCTCATGGGACCTCAGCATGGGCGTACCTATAAACAGTCTTTCTGGAACACTTCAGGGTGACTGCATCACCACTAAAGGAGTGCTCTTCAGGTTCAGGCTTGCATGAGGGGTAAGGTAACAATTCCTCTCTACTTGAAAGTCCTCTCGACATCCCTACAGATGAAAAGAGGTGCCTACCTGACCTGAATAGTCAGAATACTGGGCCAAGAGGATGACCGTGATATGGTTTGGCTCTGTGTCCCCATCCAAATCTCATCTCAAATTGTAATCTTCACATGTTGGGGAGGGGCCTGGTGAGAAGTGATTGAATCATACAGGAGGACTTCCCCCTTGGTGGTCTCCTGGTAGTGAGTGAGTTCTCGTGAGATCTGGTTGTTTGAAAGTGTGTGACACTTACCCCTTTGCACTTTCTCTCTCTCTCTCTCTCTCTCTCTCTCTCTCTCTCTCGCTCTCTCGCTCTCTCTCCCCCTCTCTCCTGCTGCCATTGTGAAAAAGGTCCTTGCATCTCTTCCACCTTCTGCCATGATTTTAAGTTTCCTGAGGCCTCACAGTCATGCTTCCTGGTAAGCTTGTGGAACTGTGAGTCAATTAAACCTCTTTTTTCTTCGTGAATTACCCAGTCTCAAGTAGTTCTTTATAGCAGTGTGAGAATGGATTAATAAAACTAGAACATGGATCACTTTCCTGCCAGCCTGGAAGGAGAGCTGAGGTAGTTCCCACTCTTCCCTCTGATAAGACCTCAGCATGTTACATTGGGTAATCCCTCAGCCACCCTCTCAAGACTGTGACCTCTGTCTACCATTGCATATTGCATTTACCCACCTGCTTTAGCGACAACTTGTTTCTACCCAGGGACACCTTCCCTACTGGACTGAAGCCAGAACGATTCAACCCAATAAATAGAATACTGGGAAAAAATAAATAAAGTGAAAACCACAAGGGAATGAGATAGGGTTCAACAGACCTCTGCCATTCTAGCTTCATAGGAGACAGTAAACTTGCTCATACACTGAGCACATTTCTACTACAACCACCACTTGAGGAATCCACATACACAGGCCTTCTATAACCAAGGAGCTGATACAGAGTCTTTACCCCTGAAAACATCAAGAGCTAAATTACGCCACAATAAACTATGAACATTGAATTCACATCCTTAAGGGAAAAAAAAAATTAAAAAAAGAACACAGTCAAATCAAGAATAAATTAAAAAATAATTTGAAGAAATAGTCTACCCAAATGAGAAGGAGCCAGAAAAATAATTCCGGCAATATGACAGTATGTATGTAACACCTCCAAAAGATAACATTACCTCTCAAGCTCTGTATCCACATAATTGTGAAATCTTTGACATACCAGAAAAAGAATGCAAAAGGTTGATTATTAGACTACTAAATGAGATAAAAGAGAAAGGTGTTTGGTTTTCTGTTCCTGTGTTAGTTTGCTGAGAATGATGGTTTACAGCTTCATTCATTTCCCTGCAAAGGAAATGAATTCATCCTTTTTTATGACTGCATACTATTCCATGATGTATATGTGCCACATTTTCTTTGTTCAGTCTATCATCGATGGGCATTTAGGTTGGTTCCAAGTCTTTGCTATAATGTGGTGAATTGAAGCAACTAGCTTTCAGTTATGAGGCCACAGGTCTAAGAATGAATGTGAGGATTGCTGATGGAAAGAGGTGAGTCTGGCTTATGATAACATTATTTAGTGACTGACTTTCTATCCAAATCTTTATTATTTGAGAAAATAACCACTAAATTTAAATGGAAGATTGATGGGAGTTTCCATTAAGTAAAACTGAAAATATCCTTAACTTACTCAATGTTTATTTCATAGAATATTAAACAGCAATTGATTATGCTGGACCCAAATGCATCAATGTGAATAAATCTTAAAAGTATAATGTTGAGTAAGAAACCACTATGTTTGGAATAAGTGTACTATGATGAAATGTATTAATTAAGAAAAATTATAAAACATTTCTGAATATTGTTCAAGCATACATACTTAATGATAATGTGAAATATGACTATGAGAGTTGCACAGCAGCACTAGAGAGGGAAAGAATAAAATAGAAATTGTTCAGGAGAGGAAAATTTTGACTCCCTCTTTAATACTTAGAAATAATATAAAGCAAGTTTGATTAAAGTTGTTGATTATGGGAAGTAAATACATGGATGTGTATTATATTATGCTATTTTGTTTTGTATGTTTGGTATATATAAAACTTAAAAACTTTTATCTTAGAGTGCTTTCCAAAGTAATGTGCAATTAAATTCTTCGAGAAACACTGTAAAGAAAGTAGTATTTTCTCATATTACAGAGTAAACTACTGAGCCTCACTGACGTGAAGTAATATGCACAGTTGTTTCTACTCAATTGAAGTATTTTACAAATTTTTATGTCACAACCTGGGATTTTTCCTTTGCATTATCATCATAGATGTTCAGGAAATACTTACTCATATATTCATAAAATTGCCTTAAAGTGTTGTTTTACCAATGAAACCAATGTTTTCATAGCCTTCATTCTTCGAAAAACCATCTATAACTTGAAACTCATGATTATGTGTTTCAAGAAATACTTGAAATATGAAATTTTCCTACAAATTAAGTGGTAAAGATGTGAGTTCAATGGTGGATAAAGGACAATAATGAATAGCTATTTTTATATTTCTCCTTTTTTACATATTGTTTTTCTTCACTATAAATCAAATATACATTAAGTATTTTATTAAAATAAGTGTAACCCTAGAATCTAAATATCTACAAAAATTAAGTGAAGAAATATATCAGAACCCATAGTAGGTTGAGCATCTCAAATCTGAAAGTCTGAAATGAAAAACGCTTCAAAATCTGAAACTTTTTAAGTGCTAATATGGTGCCACAAGTGGAAAATTCCATGCCTAACTTCATGTGATAGGTTGCAGTCAAAAGGCACAACCCACAGTTTATTCAGCATCTCCAAGGAAAAACGACTCTCCTAGTCCACTTCAGCTATGATATATCTTTTCCATGCCCTCCTACAAAGGATAATAATATGGCGCATGCACAGGCTGGATATGTGTTCCCACCAGTGCCCTGCATGGGGCCAAGACTTACGTGCATTACTTATTGTGCATTTTATTGCTTATTTTCTGCTCTTTGGTCTAAAGACATTACTGAAAATGTTAAAAAGTTCTGCAAATATCTCTGTGGGTAATGGTAATAAGAAAAAGTAAAGCATTTCTGTTTATCTATGTAAGAGAAAGTCAAATTGTCAGAGAAACTGGACAGCAGTGTACGTGTGAAACATCTTGTAGAAGAATATGGTGGTGGAATAACTGCCATATATACCCATGGAGAAACACAAAAATAGACTGTTGAAGATCTGTGCTGAAATTGATGAGCAGAAGATATTGAAAAATGCAAAAACACTGCATAAAGCTAAAAATAAATATGTAAGTTGTGTAACCAAAGTGAATACGTTAGCATCCCTGAAAAAAACATATATATATATATCCCTGAAGAAACTTAAGGGTAAACTGTTGAAGATCTGTGCTGAAAGTGATGAGAAGAAGATAATGCAAAAATACCAAAACACTGCATAAAACTAAAAATAAAAATGTAAATTGTGTAACCAAAATGTATATGTTAGCATCACAGTGTACACATGTCACTTAATGGTGTGTGGATCATGACATTAGCAAAGATCTATTATGATGAATTAGAAAATTGAATAGAACTGTGAATATCAAACAGATTGATTGCAAAAGTTTAAGAAAAGTCAAGACATTAAATTTTTAAAGATTTATGGTGATAAAGCATCTGCTGATCATTACGCAGTAGATAAACTTATTAATGAGTGTACCAAGGTTATCACTGATGAAAATCTGGTACCAGAACAAGTCTATAATGCTGATGAAATATTCATTTCTGTTTTAGTGTTGTTGCTCTAGAAAGACATTGACTAGAGCTGATAAGACAGTCACTATAGGAAGTATGTATGCAAAGGACCGGACCGAATAAGTGTCTGGGATGTACTAATGCAACAGGCAATCATAAGTATAAACTTCCTTTGATAGGAAAAAGCTTGCATCCTCACTCTTTTCAAGGAGTAAAAGCATGAATCATCAAGGTGTCTTCTTTGACTGATTTCACAAACATTTTGTTCCAGCAGCTCAAGCTCACTGCAACAACGCTGGACTGGATGATGATTGCAAGATTTTGTTATTCCTTGACAACTGTTCTGCTCATCCTCCAGCTGAAATTCTCATCAAAAATAATTTTATGCCACATGTTTTTCCCCAAATATGACTTCATTAATTCTGTCATATCACCAAGGAATCCTTAGATTAATAAAGAGTAAATATAAAAAGAGTTTTTGAAGAGCATGCTAGCAGCAGTGAACAGAGATGTAAAGGTAGAAGATTTGCAAAAGTAGTTTAGCACGAAGGATGTCATCTATGCTGTTGCCAGTGCTTAGAATAAAGTGACTAAAGACACAGTTGTGCATGCCTGGAATAGCCTCTAGTTTGTAACCATGTTTAGTGATGATGATGAATAAGTTGGTGACTTTGAAGAATTCCACATATCAAGTGAGAGAAAAAACGATGTCCGATCTCCTTACATATGCAAAAAATACCTTCAGAGTCCCTCAGTAAGCTGGAAGAAGTGGAATTTAGGAAGTTTTAACAGTGATAATGAGAATACAGTTTTTCATTCATTGACTGATGATCATATAGCCAAAATGGTTCTGAATC